TGTAACGTGTACACTAAGATGAAAAGAAAAACAGTCACTATAAGTGAAAGGCAGTTAGAGACAGACAGAGAGAAATGAGGAGTGATGGTTACATGCATACACACTGCACACGAGAAAGGGGCGAGGCGGTTTACTGAGAGAGAAAGCAGATGGATTCTCACCTCCTTTTGACATCAAAGCTATCCGGCACAGAAAATATTAATATCAAGATTAAGAAGATTAACATATAAATAATGAAAATTATATGGCAGCACATACCATATACAATGGCTAAGTATCGCCATCTGCATAATTAAATTAAATATCCAATCTCTGTAAAATTGCAAGACCATGGAACTGTAAAAACTGCGGAACGCAGGTCAGTCCTTTGATAATTGGTTTAAATATCTGTTTGAAATTAATTACAGTAATTGATATTAATTCTCATTTCATTGATGTGTTGTGCGTATATATGACAAGAGAAGGTTAACTGTAATAGTTATGCATCTAGAGTTTGTATGTCTTGTGTTGCTGTGTTATTGTCTGTATTTGTTAGTGTGTGTTTGTGTCAGTGTGTGTGCATTTGTGTATGTGTGTGCGTGCATTTGTAAGTCTGCATGTAAATCTGTTTCCTAGCCTTCAGCCAGTGTCGCCATGGAGTTCTCGCTAACATATTCATATTCAAAATGTCTGTTTCCGTCGCCGCTTTGGGCGTGTCCACTCCGCGTCTTGCAACGTGTGTGCCTTGTTGCCGGGCGTGATGTGTATAATGGAGGGTGACGCCTGGATATGGTGTGCAGTAGTGCCGCGTCATCCATACAAACTCGGGGTACAGTGTATGCTATGCTGAAGGTCTTTATACGATTAACTAAAGGCATACAGCTCTACGTGATGATGGAAATACTTTAGAATGTATACACCACTCAAATGCGTATGTTAGCTGATCTGCCCATGCACTTTTTTTTCTGTATGTGAGTAACTTGTCCGTATTGCTCGCTGTTTCATAACGTGGGAGTTCGAACACGCTCTTTCACACACACGAACGTGTAAGTATGAACGTGTAAGTATCCACCAAAACTTCATGTAGACATTATCGATGGAGGGCGACGGAATACTAATACAAATCTCAAAACTTATTCTCCCATTTCGTGATCTTGAAGTTTGTTGTTGTTATTTCACCGTTAACGGCTGTTTGACTTGTCCTTCCTTTTTTCCTGTCCGGCCTCTCATCAGAATAAGCAAGCAAAAAGACGTGGCTATGTCAGGCATTCCAAATATTTGTTTAAGCAGGAGACGACTTCAGATCTTGACTCGACGAATAATAAAAAGAGAAAGATAGAAGAAAAAAAGGAAAGTCTTAACAACTTCCCAGTCTCCTTCCCGTTGCCGATCGAGAGCGTCTGTTACTTAGGGTCGACACGAAATTTGCGTATAGATTGGGTAGCTTCATTTCCAACCAATCATGCGTGTATGTTTGCTTTCTAAGT